ATCCAGTGTGATCCTCTGAAAATGGCATTATTTTAGGCACAAACAGATCCTGGTCCATCCGAACTGATTGTGGGGGCCAGAATCAGCCTCTACATTCCCCATGAGAATGGAATTATTTTCGGGTCAAAAGTAATTTAAAATCTGTCAAGTAACAACTGATTCAATAACTAAACATGAGCTGATTTTGTTTGGTTAATGTCTCATTCACAAGTGAAAAAAACGTTTGTATTGCTAGAAAAATAGCAATTAAGAAAAAGAATCTATGGGTGAGGGGGGGGGATGAAATTTGGAAAAAGCACAGAGAATGCAACTCTAATTTAATGTACGACAAAATACCACAGCCAAACATTAATGGCCAGAATTTGTCAATAAAATTAAGATAAGAAATTGAAAATATTCACTCGATCTAACACAGCAAAGAAAAAAAAACTAAAGCGTTTGTTAAATATATTTATACATGTTGTACGTTTCTAGATTTTCATCAAGAACTAAGCAAAGCATGGCAATAATTGAAAACAATAAGGGGGTATCTACCCCCTCCCCCTCCAATATTTTATAAATGACTGCCCTTTTCTATTTCAATGCCCTTTTTTCACCAGCGCTTACCCCCCCCCCCACCCAATAATTTGCAAAGAGTGCCTTTTTTTTTAAGAAGTGTCTTTTTTTCTGAACAATTGCCCTTTTCAAAAAGAAGTGGTGCCCTTTTTTGTGCCTACTTCCGTCAACATTTCACCATGGATGTGCAAGTTCCCTTTTCAAAAAATGTTTAACCCCCCCCCCCAAATAAAAATGACCGTGCTACGCCACTGTCATGTATGAAGCTGTGACAACTGACAAGGAAACAAAAGTTCCTCAAGCTGAGCAATCAACAACAAAATATCACTAGCTAAACTAATTTTGATGCAAGTCCAATCAGTTATAACTAACTACAATTTCTTTTGAATTTCAACAATTCAAATCATCAGTCTTCAAAGCTTTGATAAACCACATTTCTCTGATCCATGTGTGATTCGTTTACGTTTGCCTTAAATTTCACATAGGAAACAACTAGAGAAAAGGTTGATAAATCTTTATCTCCCTAAATTGCCCATTGATTTTTTTGTTTCAATTAAAGAGTTAGATCGTGAGTGGAGACCTCAATCCACAGTTTTGTTCAAAATGGTATGATACTTTCAAAATTGTTTGTTTTTCGGAGGGGGAAGGAAAACAGGATGAGGAAATAATTATGATAGGACAGTAATTGCAAGGTGTAGAGGTTGGCTTCTATTTAGTCCAAGAAAAGACTAGAGAAGCTATAATAGCAACCTAGGGTACACCCAAGGCAGAAGAACAAAGATGAATGTGTATGGATATACAAGGAGCTGCAAGAAGCTCAGTCAAAGTTCCCCAGAAATTACAGCACTTATTGCAAAAAGAGGGAAATCGTAATAACTGCAATACTTCGATCAATTTGCCTCAAATTTCATATAGGAAACAACTTTTAAAAATTAAATGAGAATTTCTGGCAGGGTTGATATATCATTATCTCCCTAATTGCCCGTCAATTTTCAAAAAATTATTGATTTTTTCACTTAAAGAGTTGGATCGTAAGTGGAGACCTCAGTCCACAGATTTGTTCCAAATGGTATGACACATTCAAGTTTGTTTGTTTTTGGAGGGGGTGGGAAACAGGATGAGTAATTGCATGGTATAGGGGTTGGCTTCTATTTAGTTCAAGAAAAGACTAAAGAAGCTAGATAATAGCAACCTAGGGTACACCCAAGCCAGAAGAACAAAGATGAATGTGTATGGAGACATACAAGGAGCTGCAAGAAGCTCAGTCAAAGTTTCCCCGGATATTAAAATTACAGCACTTATTGTAAAAAGAGGGAATCGTAATAACTGCAATACTTCGATCAATTTGCCTCAAATTTCACATAGGAAACAACTTTTAAATGAGAATTTCTGGCACGGTTGATAAATCTTTTTCTCCCTAATTGCCCGTCAATTTTGAAAAAATTATTGATTTCTTCACTTAAAGAGTTGGATCGTAAGTGGAGACCTCAATCCACAGTTTTGTTCAAAATGGTATGATACTATCAAGTTTGTTTGGTTTTTGGAGGAGGTGAGAAACAGGATGAGTAATTGCAAGGTCATTTGTATGGGTTGGCTTCTATTTAGTCCAAGAAAAGACTAGAGAAGCTAGATAATAGCAACCTAGGGTACACCCAAGGCAGAAGAACAAAGAGAAATGTGTATGGATATATACAAGTAGCGGCAAGAAGCTCCGTCAAAGTTCCCCAGATATAATTTTTTATTCCAGCACTTACTGCAAAAAGTAATTATTGGGATATTTCAGTCAGAAACATAGAGACAGAAAATCATTAAAATATCGTATTTTTTTTACAATAAAAAAAATAAAAGAAGCTTATATACATTGGTAACCAATGCATTTATAATGTAAGGTGTGCCCCTACATTTGTTTAAGCTTTGGATTTTAAAATAATGCCTCTCTATATATAGAAACTTTATGATTCTTTTACTCTGCCCTACATGGAAATAAATGTCACTGAATTGAATTGAAACAAGATCAGACAAGAATGGGAAAAGAAAGATGAAGTAAAGATGGAGATGAATAAAGAATAAATACTGAGGGCGGAGTACCAAAGAAATGGTTGCCCAAAAGGAAGGGAGGGGATGACTCTCAGAGATGACTAGCAAGCAGCTTACATGACCATGTCTGCCACAATGTGACTGACCATCGACATTAAGTAATACAATTATGTGCACAAGACCGACAATCTACATGAATGACCCTAGCAATGGACTTGCCATGAGTCAGAGGGACTTTGTTATCAACTGTATGCACCAACTACTCACTTTAATCAGGACTTTTGACACATGATGAAGCAAATGCAGACTTTGGCCGTACATCATTTGGGTTTTTGTATTCTAAAAGGGATTATTTATGTTATACTTTATTCATTCATATTTTGCGATCCACGAGACTGACAAAGCCCCTTCATGACCACAGAAGTGCTAAAAGTTTTTTTTTTTTTTACAAACCACCATTAATTAACCGTAGGAAAATAATGACCAATGATTGTGCTTGAATTGCTTTTAATTTTCTTTCTGAGAGCTCCCCAAGACACCCTTTGGTTAGACAATACACACTGCAAGTGCAAAGTTCTGCACAGGAATAGTTGCATGTGATTAAAGCTGAGTTTTTGGTTGTTGTGTTGAAATATGATGAAAAAGTACTACAGTTTAGCAGAGGAAATTAAGGGCTAAAAGGTCTAGCAAATTTGGCAGAAGAAAATGCAAGGACTTGTAAACAGGATGAGGAATTGATGAAATTATTTTTGAGTATTTAGAAAAGAAGCCAAAAGTGTCCATAGATTAAAAGGGAAAGCAACAAGTTTTGAACTAATTGTCAGCTACATGTTATCCTGATCCAGACTGGCACCTACAATTCGCTAACACAAACAGCATACATCTATAGCTTGCTGAAATTTATCATCATTCTGACTCAATATTGTTCTCAAACATTTACAGAAACAAGAAACATTTTCACTTCATTATCTGTCAGCAAATGATTATCAATATCAAAGTTAATGGATAAGATGATTTTTTTTCTTTTACCAAAATCTTCAACCTTCATCAAAACAGGTAGCTCAGAGATTTAAAGTGTCTGAACTTTTCCAATCAATGATTTAAGAATGTTTAAATTTTGTTATCAACAAGGGCAGAATTGTTCGGAACAATGGCATATTATGCAGTGACAGAAACTACATTTTGACATGTTCAGAAAAGAATCTGTTCACATAGTTCAGTTTTCAGAATCAAATGATATCAGGTAAATAAACTCATCCATTTTGAAGACAAAATGAAATCTATATGAAATGAAACAAATGAAAACCAATCTTTTCTAGCAACCAAAGATATAGAGTATGTGTGTACAATATGCCGCCGAAAATTGTTTAAAATATATATCGCAACAGTTCATATTAAAGGCATATAGGATCATTTGCTGTTCATGCATATTCTTTGTTTCCAATAATAAGATCACGCAAAATTAAAAAGAGTGTTCAAAAACTAATCTGTTGACGTTTCAGATATTACACTTTTTAATTAATTTAAGAACATATTGAAAAACCAAGCATGACCTCAGTTTTGATCACTACACACTGTGACCATTTCGTCAATGGTACTTTTTACTAAAAAAAACCACCCAGTAAATTGATCGTTGAAAATCATGTACATGTACATTTCTTGATTTCTTTGAAATGACAGCAAGCCAGACAGAATAATTTCATGGCGTGTTTAGTACCAGTATGATCTTTAATTTACTCGAAGTAAGCATTTGTATAATAGTATAGGAGGTTAATTTTGGGATAAATACAAATGATCCTATATGCCACTAAAAACGTTGGGAGAAAAATGCTTTAATTCATAGTTACTTTTCACTTAAATCTCTCCTATGAAACATAAAACCTGCTCCATCAAATTAAGAACATGTGTACCATACTGTAAGAGGTTTGCAGCAAAAGAAAACTTGAATGTATAAGTGCAATGTGACAGTTTTATCTGCTTGCCAGCAAGTAGGACAATAATTGGACACTTAATGCAAATAATTCAATCTTATTGCATTTGTCTTTGACAGTCCACACAAATGAAATTTCTTGTTATGTGTTTATAGATCAAATCACACATAATTCATTAAATGGAAATTTTCAATTCTTCCGTCTTTCAGAAATGATTATCATGATCCTTGCTGAAAAATTGTTTTCATTTCTCTTTCTTCTCCAAATTACAATATACTGTCCAGGATGCTGTCGGGAAAAAGTATCAAAGTTTGTTTCAATCAGAATGTTGAGGACAACAATCTTATTCACAAGAATCAAGTTAGAGAATTATGGTCTTGTGCAGACAAAATTTCATTTGCAGGGGAAATCTGAGGTTCTTTGGTGCACATTGAGATGGGTTTTGATGGAGCAGGTTGCATTCTTGGTTGGACTCACCCTTAAGGTCATCCCAGTCAGCATGGTGATGGTCATCCAGCCTGTCCTGCCTACCGGTAGTCTAGGCACTTCTTCTTTCGTATGGCGTGCACAGCCTACAGTTGTAGGCCAAGGGTAGACATCCAGGCCAGGGTAGACATCCAGGCCAGGGCATCATCGGCTACGGTGTGGATGGCTTCAATGTCACCGGGGAAAGGCCTCAGCAGGCAGTCATTCACGATAGTCTAGGCACTGGTCGAGTCCAATCCAGCCTCAGCATGGTTTACAAAGGTCAGTCTCTTCTGAGGAAAGATTTAAAAACCAACTGTCAAACCTTAATTTGCTAATTTCCCTTTCAATTTCCCAGTCAGCAATGAAAAGAAAATCTGAAACTGAAACTGGGAGTGATTTGTCCTTTGAAAATTCAAAAGGGATCACAGATTCGGTTTTGATTGAATGTTATCTCATATTATGCATCTGTGGGCAATGGTGAAAATATGGACAAAAGAGGAAGACAATGATTCCTTGGTCCAACAAGTTTCCTGATAAAGTGATATTCTGTCTTATTGACACATTTTAATCCGAAGAATTAATTGAGAACACTCACCAGTTTGGAGAACTCAATCATCCTGAGAGAAGCCAGAGAAGATGTGTTGATGACCTCAGGATGGTGCCTCATCCATCACAGACATCCTGAGCGGCCTGTCTGCACCTTGGTTCCCATGGCAGAAGATCAATAGGTACCACCTATGTACACAGCATCTGTCCAGATACAGCCTCCCATAAAGACGCGCTACATGGCAGATATGAGATTGAAGATGGAGTGAACCGCAAGCAACTCATGGAGCAACTAAGTTTGAGTTATGAAAGTAAAGACCAGTCAAATCTCGGTTCACTGGTTTTCCCGTGCATGTAACACTTGAGCGCAGTTAATGCCTTGGTCATGAAGGTGCGGTCATGGCAGTTGATTTTCAAAACAGCCGTCTCATTCTCACCAGGCTCGACAACTTCAAGTACTCCGCTGGTCCTGGCCCGCGATGAATCCTTGCTGAGTCGTTGGTCGGCGATGAGGCCTCTGTTCCTGGAGTCAAAATTCTTATGAGAGAAGATTATTTTGCATGGGCTTTTTGCAGTGCAGTGCACTCGCCAGGCTGGTGGAAAACTCAGTAACACTTATGTGGCACGTGTACTGTACTGGTTGGGCCTTGATAGATAGAGGGCACTCGTGAATGTGTGTATGGTAAATACGGTAGATAAAATTGGTTTGGGGTAAAAAAAAAACCTTCCCAAAAAAAATGACATCATAATTATCTTTTATGTCCGCGGCCGCCCTCCATAGCCAGTGCGGGTAAGGGGGTATTTGTTCACTATTGTGCGATATACAGGGTTAGCCAGAAAGAAAGCTACCCAAATTAATGATTTTGTATCTTTAAAAAAAAAATTTGAAACTTCAATGAACTATGTCTGTAAAGAACATCTTCCACTCATTTAAAAAAAAAAGACTGATTGATCCATGCTATCTGGAGTTACCATTGACTCGTTTACATTTCATTGTACTCAATAGGCATTAATCGGTTCGTAGAACGGTATATGATACATGGTTGGCAGCCCAGTTTTGTGATCTTTTCAATGAAATAGACATAACTTAGGAATAAGTGTGCAAAACTAGAGCATGCAAATTACGTGAAATTTTCAGATAAAAATCAATCAGATGTAACTTTATCCCTACATTTTGTGTGTGTGAAATGGAGCAAGATTATTTCAAATTTGAAACTTTCTTTTGACTCAATACGAAATTGCATAACACAACATGAAATTATCATCATGATCTCCATGATAAAAACTTAATAAAGATTAAAGTTGATCACCGTTCAAAATGATCCAGTGTACAAGCATTTCCTATTTGACAGCTTTAGTTCAGGAAACTTCCCTTTATCAGGAAAGCTTCCCTTAACAGGATCACCACCGGGAAGGTAGCTGTCATGATCCCATGTTAGTAGAGAGCAGCAGAAGGATGGTGCGTGCGAAAGATGAGAATGGAAGGTAGGGGTAGAAAAGAGAAGAAAGGCAGTAATGAAACAGTGCGTGCAAGTGACAGAAGAAAAAAAAAAGGTGGGGAAAGAGGATGAAGAACAGAAGACATGGACCAGTGCGTGCGAATGATGATAGAAAGGGGATGGAGGAAGGGGATGGAGGGTTGGGACGGAGGGTAGGGATGCAGGGTAGAGGGAAGGGTGGAGGAATAAACGGTGATGAGCCGGTCAGGAATCACCAGGGGGAGTAAGGGAAAGTCTTGTCTCAACTGTGGCTGCAGTGCAATGACCAGCTCCAGCGTTTCACAGTGAGATGCAACTTTACAACTTGAAGGTCCATGTACTCAAGCAAATGGTTACTACAGAAAAGTCACTGTAAGCTTACCAATAGTCAGTTGGCTTGTGGTATAAATCAAGAGTACACAGTTGAATAGCCATTTGCCCCTACCTTTTTGTGGGTGGGGTTTTCCATGGGGAAATGGCAAAATAAACACAAAAGCAGAGTCCTTTAGGCTAAAAAAAAAAGTCTCCGGTTTCTGGTATGGAGCTTGCCCCAAAAGTGGTGCGGTGACGCGGCTTTTTTTTTTTTTTAACCTGTTTTTTTTTTTTTTTGGCTTCAAATGTCAGCTGATGACTGCAAATGGTGCCCGACTAAACTTAGTGCAAATATATGGGAGTCCAGAAAGGCCACATAAATCTTATTCTCGATCATAACCCCTTCTAAAAACACGTTAAAATTGTGCAGCAGCAGAATTCCAGTCAAACCAGTGAGTTTGGCGGTTTTGAAACATCATCTTGTATTGAAAAAAAAACTTTTTCATTTTGCCGACGCGCATGGCTACGGCGACGCGCGCGCATACCAGAAACCGGAGACTTTTTTTTTGTGGCCTTATCAAGACTTCTTGCAGTTAGCTAAAAAATTTAAGTTCAAATTACATAAAAACCACAACATTTGGGCAAACTACCTCTTTTGGGGGCGGGACACTATTCATAATTAGGGGGGGTGGGGAAATTAAAAATAACAAAATTACAATATCAATCCAAACCCATGTCATTTTTTTTCTGATTTTGGCCTTAGCAGTAAGCAGTAAATAAAAAAACACATTTCAATTACATTTCAATTTGATGAAAGAGTAAGTGCAGTTTTTCAGTTAAAAAAATTGTACAATTTTTGATAAAAACATTAGTTTTGATATGGACGAGCACTTTTAAGGGAATAACAGTGTGAAGAGCCAGTCTTCACTGCGTGATAATGAACGGGATGGGGGTGACCGCTGTTAATGGACTCAGACGAAGTCGAGGTCCATTAACAGCGGTCACCCCCACACCCGGTCATTATCACGCAGTGAAGAGCGGATCCTCACACTGTTATTCCCATTAATAAATACCTTTTTAACGAAATAAACAGTTAAAATGCTCCAATTTTGTGACTTTCTTTTGGCGATATTTCCAGACTTTTTTGTGTTCATGGGCCATATTTTAACTTATGCGTGGTACCCTGTCTCTTCAATAAGCATTGTTATGTAGTAATTCGTGTTTTCTCCCGAAATGAGTTCTACTACTGTTTATCAAGCCTCGTGTCTGTTCTTACAAGTTGTGAAAAACGGCACACAAAATGTTGGTTGTTTACAAGTTTTAATGCCTTCCAAACTCACAAGTTCGTCATGCAACTGCTATCCAATGATTAACAAAGTTCTGGAAAGTCAGTAGGTATAAGCACACATCAATTGACTGAATAAAACTTGGTTGAGGAAACTTTCAACGTTGGAATAAGACTTGCACAAAGCAGAATGAAAACGATAAGTAAAAGGTCACCAACACGTCACACTGCGCAAACGCAGCACAGCGAGAGTGAACTCCGGTGCCAATGGCAACCAAAACTTATTAACATACTTATTTGTATGGAACGCCTGTTGGAGCTAAAAGAACAAACACTTAATTATATACACATGTACATGTCACTACAGTTATATACACCACAGCCGGGCCCAGGCTGCGCTGGACAACGTCTTCATTGCGTACGCGTACGCCGTCCAGGGTTTGGAATGCTGCCGTAGCGAAACAAATTACAACAATGTTTTCATATTTTTACCCGATGGAGGAACCTGAAATTTCGTTTACATATTCCTTGTGTCCAGAATTACAAAGATGCTTGGTATAAAGTGTTTAAAGAAAATAAATCGTAGATCTACGCTTTCGTTGAAACATCCCCAGTATACTGCACGATGTCGTTTTCAAACTTCCTTATGCGCGCGCACCCATAGCATCTGTGTTGCGTACGCGCGCGTCAGTCTCACGCGAAGGTGGTTGAGCGCATATGCAGTGCTGTATTGTTACAAGCTGCCATATGACAAAATTTCTATTGTTTCAGCCACTGTGACCTTGACCCTTGACCTTTCGGCCCCAAATGCAATAGGCTTCTTAGGATTACCAAGAACAATACACAAACCAAATTTGAAGTTCATATGTAAAGTATTTCTCAAGTTATTGCGCTGACAAGATTTGTCCGGACACACACACCCACCCACCCACGGAAGGACAAGGCGGAAACAGTATGCCCCTTCGGCTTCGCCGCGGAGCATAAAAATATTTTAGATGTCGTTACATATAACAATAATAACCTTAAACTGAGGAATGCAATGAATATCTGTATTCTGTGATTTCACCTTCTCTAGAATAGAACATTCAAAAGGTATTACAGATGCAATGAAGTTTAATATATCAGATATCCTTTTGAGGCAATAGGAAAAGGATTATTATGTGAATAAAAAGAGAAACCAATGATTCTTCCAACATCACTTTCATTGAATTCATTTAGATATACTCACCGATTTAAACGCAGTCACTGTCATGACGAGAGAGTCCAGAAGAGCCATGGCCAAGACGTCAGAATCGATCCTCATGCCCCACAGGCATCCTGAGCCAGTTGTCAGTAGTTTGTGGAATAGGAAACACTCCAATGGCAAGTGATCAACAGGCAGAATTACACAGGTGTAGACAGCATTCGTCAAGACAAGGTTTTCTTATGGGAAAAACTCCAAGCAGCGATGGGTCGGAGACAAGGACCTACAACAAAGAGCCATTCTCTTGTAGAATCTGTTGACAAAAGAAATTAATTATTGTAATAAGGAAATGATTGTGAAATGAATATAATTTGCAGAGAATTTGGCAAAATTACCATATGCGAAGTTCACTAATTTTCCTCTGTATTGACTAACATGCCCCCAGATAGCAATTTCATGTCATCAAAGTCAATTTGAGCAGTGAGAAAATACAAGCATTTTCTTAGAAAACACGGAAAGATTTCCATATACGAAGTTCACTCAACACCCTGTGTACAAACCCTATGAGATTGGACTGAAAAATTCTAAGTGTTTTCTAAGAAAATGTTTGTATTTTCTCACTGCTCAAATTGACTTTGATGACATGAAATTGCTATCTGGGGGCTTGTTAGTCAATACAGAGGAAAATTAGTGAACTTTGTATATGGAAATCTTTCCGGAAATCTTTCCAATAATTTATTTTCTTGAATAAAAACCCCATACTAATTCCCTGAATGAATCAACTTCAAAAGATATACAACCTGTAATAATAATGAAACACCAAGATTGTTTCAATGCTTCAGCTCCTTATGTAATAGAAAGGCAGGTCAACGGAAGGAATTGACTTGAGAAAATATGCGTCCATGGCAACATTTTTTTAAGATAGTGGATATTTTGCCGGAGGTAATGACGGCAAACTAACGATTACTAAAGGTTTGCCAGCGGCAATCCATATCAACAGAGGGCGCTGTACTCTTTAAAATAGGGCTGAATTATAAGATGTATTAAATTCCCACCAAAAGTTGTGTAGCACGTTTGGTGTAATGGTTAAGCAAAGGCTCTAGTAAACGAGATGACTCGCATTCGATTCCGACCGCACCACATTTTTAAGTTTTTTTTTCTCATCCCCAAATAAATAAGAATATTCTTCTTTTATTATTTTAACATGTCTCAAACATATTTTGCAGAGTATTACATTTTCTTTTTCAGATTTGTGGCTCTGGAGGATTTTTTTTAAAAGGGAAATAAAGTCCGAAATTATAAAATGGTCTGAATCCCATCTTGTGAATACGAGGTAACAACGATAATTTTGGCATGGAGCCAGACTAAAACTTGTCACCGGAAAATGTTTAAGTACAAAAAAACAGTAACTGCGCATGTTCAGTGCATATCCGGCAAACTAACGTTTACTAAAGGTTTGCCGTCTCCGGCAAAATATACACTGCCTTTTTTTAAAGAGAAGATTATTCAGAAGTTATCATTTTGTTATTTTGTGCAATATCAAAAGGGAGTCACATACATATATTTCCACAACCACTCTTTGGACGCAATTTGTTTTTAGTTCACACGTACTTGAATTTGCAACAAAGGACCATATAATGATTTTACTGACATTACAAATGTTGAAAAAATATATCAACAGTTATATAATATTAAAAAAAAATCAGCTGTGCAAGTGCAACATTTTGCTGCTTTTTGTAAAAAAAAAAATTAATACAAAAATCTAAAAACATACATTGCGCAGTGTCATATTGATTGGGAAGTGCGAGGGGGAAACAAAAGTTACAGGGAGAAGAGCACAACTACAGTACATGCCCCCCTCAACTTGCTCCATGCCCCGCCCACCTCTCCAACGTGACCCCTCACCACAACCCAACCAGTGACAACTCCACTTACCATGACGTTCGATTTTTACACCTTTATTTACAAATCATTTCCAACTAACTAAGGCCCACTACTACACTCACCTAGTTTGCAAGCCATTAATTCATCAAACTATCAGTATTTGAAGGCTCAAAAACGTCATTTTCGGCATAAAATTGTCACTCAAAAGTGAAGACGAAACGTTTCAAATCTCCCTGCGTCGTCGAAAATTTAAATATGGCGGACACGGAACGAAATTCCACCTGGTTCCTGGCATGGCGCAAAGACACATAAATATACCAGCAGGTTCACGTATACCAGCGAAACACGTGCTTTTTACAAATTCAAAAGACTTCGGCGCGCGCACAGTCCTTGCTGGTAGACTTGCTTAAAGCCTTCGGAGACCGCTGCATTGCCGTGTTTGCAACGCGTCACATGGTAGATAATTATGACAGGGATGGAAAAGAGACTAAACAGACTTGAATAAATACAAAAACTTGATAATTATGCAAAATTCTTTTAAAATATATTTTTATAAAATGTTGGTGGAGACTAGCTGTGGTAAGCGATCGACGAGCAAGTTTATAATATTGCCATGTAAATTAAGCAAGGTTTTCCACAATATAAGTAAATTTTATTATCAAAAAATATCGTCTCTTTGTGGTTAATTTTGAACAATTTAATGTCTCTAACTTACAGCATTCCTATCGATACGGGAGAAATCTGAAGGGGGGGGGGCACATGTCGTTCAACCGATTTGGTTGCAGTAAAAAAAACCTTTACCGTTTCGTATTTCTTTGATTTCCATTCAAATACATCTTAGATTGGCATATTCTCTGAGTACATTACAGTCGACTCTCGTTAATACGAGCTCGGCGAGGACGTGATTCCTGTTAAAGCTGAGCACATTGTGCCAGTCCCGACCTAAGCATGAACATTCCTAATAGGAATAATTTATTTAATACGAGCCTTGGTAATACAAGATTTAAGTCATAACGAGCGTTTTTTTTTTGGCCCGGTTGCGTGAAAATGCATTATCAATTCATTTACAAAGAGCATTGTTTTTTTTTTAAAATAATGTCAATTCAAGGGCACCCATGGGGCACTTAATTTATTTATTAGAAACGCACTTTCGTCCCAATAATTTGAATATTTGTCAACCAATAATTTTCGGCCGAAATGAAGTTATTTTGGTTAGATGTTGCTGGTTTGCTTTGTCTTATTCAAGAACTGCAAAAAGTAAATCGCAAGAATTCAACCCCACCTCCAAAAAAAGGACTGAATTGCACTTATTCATATGACCATATTATTTGCCTACATACACGATACTTGGTGGAACAGAGGACATGCTATTTTTTTAATTCTAAATATAATATTTCACCCCAATTTCAAAACTGGTCAAGATAAAACTAAAATATATAAAACAGCAGTAAGTCATAAAGAACAAGATTGACAACAAATAAACACTATTTATAATTAATATAAAAACAGGCAATTTTCATTGCTTCTCATTTATTGCATTGGTGGCTTTTCATTCCAAATTTGCTTTTTTCTTCTCAAACACCTGCCCAAATTGCCCAACATCCATCATGCAGTACTTATCTGTGAAAAACCAAAAAATTTAAATGATTCAGGTTTAACATCAAACAGGACAATTTTCCAGTGCCAATCGACTCGACAGAGTCCTTCCCATTAAGGATTATTACATGTCTGAAATAGGTTGTTATTTCTGCTCAGTTATTTAGTCTGCAAATTTACACAGTTTAGGCATAATTCAAAACAAATAACATCCACTCTTTCACCACTGTCTTTATCAAGCATTAATTTGATCCAATCTGTGGTGAATTAAGGTCCTGTGTCTTTTCAGGTTTGTTTTGTTCCACACTAGTAGGTTTCAGTGGGAAAGAGGGTTCTGATGAAGAACAGTGAAATCTCAATAAGTCAAAACCTGTTAACTCAAAAACCCTTCTAACTCAAAGTAAAAACTTATTCCTGCCAATTGTTGTTAAATAGAAAATCCATTGGATAACTCAAAACTCTGCTTAAAGGGAATATACAACATTTGCAAACATCGAAAAATAAAACTACCAAGTTTTTACGAAATACCTTACTAGGATGTTGGTAAATGACAGTCTAAAGCATCCTGTAAAATTATGGCACCTGGTGTGAAGTCATTTTCAAGAAAATGGTATTTTTGTATACGTTTCCAACGGTGGTCGGCCGACCACCGTTGGAAAAACCTAACTATTTTTCAACTACTGCTCCAACTTTACTTTTTTCAGTCCAAATTTTGTTTGCTATTGGTTACATGTTCATGAATGGGTGCAGGCCAGCTAGACTGGTTCCCTTACCTTAAAATTTTCCGGCATCTATAAATTGATCCATTTTATCTTTAGTGGAGTCAAGGAACCAGACTACTTGAACGTTTTTGTTTTTCTTGGTTTCTCCAGCATTTTCGAACACAAAACTTCAAACATGTCAGTGTAACAACATTTGATCTATTATACTTACCCCACAAATCGTTCATTTCTGAAAATTACAGCAAAAGCCAATGATGTACATTCCCTTTAACTCAACATTTGAGCCAATTCCCCTGAGGTTTGACTTATCGAGATTCCACTGGGTTCGAGTCCAGCCTGTGGGTTGCTATGCATGTGTCCTTGGGCATGACACTTTGCCACAATTTCCTCCACCCCACTTTGGAATAAATGGACAATGTTGAGGGCAGCGGTTACTGCAATTTAAATTCAAAAATTAAGTTTAAAGATTGCTGTTTGACCTAAAATGGCAACATCTTGCTGTGCACACCTCAGGGAGTCATGATAATCTAAGAACTGTATATTTAATTTGATGAGGAGGATAACAACAATGTAAAGCTCTTGGATATTAGTAAACACATGATATAAATACCTCTTATTATTATACAAATATAACATGGTTTGAGGGTGGACAGTCGATATTCGCTCCCCGAGGTATTGGAAGTTGACAAACTAGTTCCCGAGGCGAAGCCGAGGGAACTAGTTTGTCAACTTCCAATACCGAGGGGAGCTAATATCGACTGTCCACCCGAAATAAACCATGTTATATTTGTTTTACTATACCTCATACATATTCAGTTGCCGAATTTTGTTTTGTTATTATGCACCTAAAACAAAATTCGGGGGAACTTGTACAGCTCACCAAAAGATTCAACTTCAATTACTAGTTCGGTTCGTTTGCAATATAATACAGTTACTACAGTTGTAAATACAGTTGTTTGCAATGTGTACAACTTTCTTTTGTACAGGAGACATCTTTACACGGTCTATACATTTTCTCCAGTACGGCATCATTGAGCTCTGGAAATTAACATTTACGCGAACCGTGCAACCATGCATCTCTCCTGTGCGATGTTCGCGCGTGCGTACTGCACCCGTGCGACAGTTCCTCGATTGCTCTGTAAAGCGCATGCGTAGTAGACTGTCGCACGGGTAACCCATGCGACAGTCTACTACGCATGCATATTTACAATGTGCGTGAATCCTCGTGCGCGCGTTTGGTAAACAGCAAGAATAACATCTGGCACGTGATGGTGAATTGACCAGTGAACGTTCGGCTCTCGATCATGAATATGTATGAGGTATAGTAATATTTATTATTCACCAAAGGGGAAGACGGCTGCCTAGAAACCATCAAGGGATGCAAGGGTGCAGTACATCCCTTTACTTTCCAGCAATGACAACATTTAAAACTGTGAGCAGATCTCACATTGTTGACAGCAGTCAAGTTTCACAGCATAAAAAGAGTCTACTGTCTGATTCAGTTAATGTTGTTATCACTTTAAGAGCACTCTTATCTTGAAGGGCATCTTGGCTTGAAAGAGTCACCTCCTTGTGATGTTGGTTGTATAATTAACCTCGCTGTGGCCTCAAGGTCATCATATCTTAAGAGGCACTCTCACTCTGAAGAGGATCTCAGCATGAAAAGTCTGCTGTCTGTTGAGGCATATTTGAGGTAACAGGACGTCATCTCCTTGTGAGACTGATAGTTGTTTAAGAACCTCACAATAGTCCCTTGAGGATTGACAAAAAAGCCTACTTGGTTTCCTCCACATCCATGAATGCCTCAATTTGTCTCCTTTAAAAGACACGCTCTCACACTGATAAGGTTCCTGGCTTGAATAGAGTCGGCTCTCCGGTGAGGCATATTATAGGCAACAGAAACCCTTTGCCTTGTGATGTTAGCTGGTTGTATAAGAACCTCGCAATTGTCACGCAGTCGTCACCTCTTGAGGACTGACAGGAAGGCCTCCTTGGGTACCTCCACATTACCAAACATCTTCATCCTCTTCTTGCCTTCTGACTGTCTCTTTAGGAGTTTCATTTTCCTGCTGATGTCACCGCCATACTAGAAAGCAAAATCAAAGAACTGTAAATTGTAAAATTCAATGTTTGGTTTTGCCTTTCTCTGAATAGTTTTACAAACACTGTATACTCATTAATGTTTAACAGCTTGCAAAAAGAAATGCGGTCATCAATGTCTTTTATCAAACAAACATGTGACCTTCAAGGACAAAACCAGTTGGTAGTCGCACAGCCTTATTTTGAGAAATAGCCTAAAATACAGCCTATAAAAGAATATTGATGAAAATTGAGAACTGAAAATAACTATAACTCCATCAGATTTTGTCCAATTCCCATATTCTATACATCATTGGAAAGCTTGTTCGGTGTCCTTTCAAACGAGTCCATAATCCCAGTTTTCAAAAATTGGTCCAAGTGACTGGTTTTGTGCAGGAGGGTCACATATGAACATGGGGCTTGCACTATAAAACCAGAGGATTTCTTTGTGGATACAACTTCTGTGGAAAAAAATGTTGTTTTTGTTGCTCCTTTTCCACTGCACTTGCTTCTCTACATAGTTTTAACCTTTTAACAGTGAGGTAACTTCAGTCAAATTTAAGGGGGCCTCATTGTTCAGTGGTCATCGTCTTCAAACAATAGACAAATTATGTTTTTCCCTAAACTCTGAGCCCAGGGAGGAGAGGGAGAACAGGCCAGGAGTGAAGAGGGGGGGGGGGGGGGGTAATTCCAATGTTCAGTCTTTGTAGTACGTTTTATTCAATTTATTTTAAATACTCATTGACGTTTTGATGTAATGACTCAATGTAAATTAACTTGTAATTCACCTTTTTGGCATGAGAGTCTAATGAAATACACCACAAAAAACAATACAGTCACTCACACATTTGGCCAGCACGTTCTTCTTCAGCGCTCTGATGTTCTCTCTAGCCACTATCTTGTTACTGACAGCAGCCTGTATAGCCACCTCATACAGCTGCCTGGGTATGGTATCAGCCAGCTTGGCACAGACCGCCTTGCCAACCTCTCGACCTTTGTCTCGGTGTATGATGGTGGCTAGTTCCTCAACTTCTCGGCCATTGAGGAGGATGCTGAGCTTGACTAGGTCGGCTGACTGGTAGCCACAGTCTTCGTAATCAAAGCTGAAAATGTCCAAATAGAAGGGATTCAATGTACAGAGCAACATAACGCATTTATCTCAATAAGCAGGAGAGCTTTTGAAAAAAAATGTAGTTGAGTCCATGGGAAGTCAAATCACATATATCCATTTAAAGTCAAATGTCATGTCAAATGTTCACAAATCACATGTCAAATGTTCACAAATCACATGTCAAATGTTCACAAATCCATTACGAATCAAATGACGCAATCAAAATCACAAACAAGGTTGCGAGAAACAAGGCATGAAGACTGATGAAGGAATGTCTTTGCGTCAGAAAATAGTTTGTGACTTTCTTTGACACTGCAGGACTTGTGATTGACTTGTGAGGACTTGTGAGCATTCAGTACAAATCTGACTTTTTCTCTTTAAAGTCAACTTCCTGCACATACTGTCCTGCAGATAATAATGAATCCTTCAACGTCTATCGGCAGTATCACAACGACATATACAAAAGTCATTTGGGAGCCCCGAAAACAAAAATTGTCATTGTTTACAAAATGTTACCAACCATAATGTCACACAATTTACTTTGCTGATGACAGGTTTTCAGCAGATTTTTGCTCAGAACATAAATTTGCTAAGCGTCATTTACTGCTAGCAGCTGCACGACAATCAGGCCAAGTCTCTTGATCTTTTACTGAATATTTAAACCAGTTTGCTCTCACCTTGCATATCCCGATGTTATTGACTTGAGTTGATCAAAGAAATCCACTACGATCTCATTCAGGGGCAGTTTGTACTTCAGCAGAACACGCTTGGTGTCAATGTACACGTACTCAACCTGCTCACCCCTCTTATTCTGAAAAGAAATGCAAACAATGTCAAACGCGGTTAAGTAATGAAAGTTATGATCACCGCTCTACTATAAAGCACAAAGGGTGTATGTGTGTGCTAACCAGTTGCTCATTTGCCAATAGCGTGTGATCCCCTGCAAAGTCGGGTGGGGGGCGGTGGGGGGGGGGGGGGGGATCTCACGCAAAAAAAAAAAAATTGGATAACACACTCACGAAGAGGGGGACAGGTGATGAAATAGCCTCCCTTGCATAGCAGACAAGGCAAAGTCTTACCAGAGTTCCAATCTGCTTTAATTTAGACTGAAGAAAAGTGATTGCAGCATATTATTCTGCTGAACGTCGCATGCATTACAAAACTGTGGTGACCACCCCCACGCGAACTTTGACCTGTCAACATTTCGCGTGTCGCTGGTACCTGTACATACTATGTTTTCCACCATAGACTTTTCGTTGGTTTACGAGCATGTGCGAAGGATGTCCCCTTCTTTCTAACGTCTTATCGTCGAGTTTACCTATTTTAGAAGTGCCAAGTTTTGCCAGTTTACATCATCGTCGTTCTTCATCAATTTCAAGTTTTTCAGTAGTTATTTAGTACTCGTCGTCTTAGTCCGTCCGTCAGTAACTTTGTGAATGTTTGTACATACACATTTGTGGAACTATCACCCGTTCTGTCTCGCGGTAGTCGAGGCAACATCGGCCAGCCGCCGTGCGGGAGAACAGTCCGACAGTGCAGGACACACGCATCGAAACAAGTTGGGGTGAGTGACACTTAAGTTAAACGATCGTGCATTCCCTAAAGTGGTGATCCAAAAACGTGCGATGACTACCACAAAAGCCGCAAAACCCAGATTCTGGAGCATCACCAGTCAGTGCAGTAGACTTGAAACTCCCACCGTACTGGCCCAACGACCCGGTGATATGGTTCGCACAAGTTGAGGCGCAGTTTCTTACCCGGGGTATCAAGTCGGAACTCACGAAATACTCGTACGTAATTGCGTCTCTACAACCATCCATTGCGCAGGAAGTAAGGGACTTGTTTAGTCAACCCACCGACTGATAACCCATATGTCAAACTGAAGAAGGGGCTCATCAAACGCACTAGCGAGTCGGAGCGAAAGCGCCTCCAGAAACTGTTGACAACAGGAGAGCTTGGGGATAAGAAGCCCTCGCAGTTACTTCGCACCATGGAACAACTCCTCGGCAATAACACACTGGAGCCTGCAATCCTGAAGCAGTTGTTCATGCAATGCCTGCCAACAAACATCCAACTGATCTTGGCCTCGACAAGCGAGGTCGACATCGCACAACTCGCTAAGCTCGCGGACAAAATCGTTGAAGTTTCCCCGTCATTAGCTCAGGCCTGTGCTGCCGTTCCAGCACCAGCACTTGTTGCTGCAGTCAAGCCATCCGCTGCATCGGAAATACAGTTGCTTCAAGCTCAAGTCGAAAAGCTCACGGCCCAAATGGAGTTGTTGGTGCACCAGAACCAGTATCAACACGGTCGGTCGAGGAGCCGCAGTCGCGACCAAAGCCAGCACAGACGCGATCGCAGTTCTTCCGCGTCGGGGGACAACCCTACTGATTCCTGCTGGTACCATTGGAAATACGGGGACAAAGCTCGTAACTGCAAGGAACCATGCAACTACACACGCAACCACAGTTCCAACACGGCCCAGGGAAACCAGCAGGCCAGCGGATAGGGGCGACTTCATCCACTGGCACACCCAATCAATGTCGCCTTTTCCATGTGTTTGACAAAATCACAGGCTCCAAGTTCCTCGTGGACACCGGTGCTGAGGTCAGCATCCTCCCTCCAATGCCACGAGACAAGCAGTGCTGCAGGAGTGATTTTGTGCTCGAGGCAGTCAACAAGACACAGATTCACACATATGACAATTGATTTGGGCGTACATGCAGGTGGATTTTCACAATTGCTGATGTACCAGTTGCAATTTTGGGAGCAGATTTTCTACACCATTTCGGGTTATTGGTTGACATGAAAGACAGAAAACTCATAGATTCCATGACTAGTCTTAGCATCCAAGGCATTGCAACAAGCACCAATGTTCTCAGCCCTGTTTTTGCTGGCCTATCCCCGAACACTTGATACACAGCCATTTTGGGTCAGTTCCCTGCCATTACCCGACCTTGCTTCAAGGATGCAATACCCAAACATGATGTCATCCATCACATCACAACGAAAGGCCCTCCTGTATCCGCCAGGCCACGGCGCCTTGCTCCGGACAAATTCGCCAAGGCTGAGTTCGACCACATGCTACAATTGGGCATCATCCGTCCCTCCGATAGTAGTTGGTCATCGCCATTGCATATGGTGCCGAAAGGAACACTGGGTGTTTGGAGACCATGCGGGGATTACCGCGCTCTGAACAATGCATCCGTCCCTGATCGCTATCCAATCCCTCATGTACATGACATCACTTCGTCTTAGCATGGCCAGACTGTTTTCTCGAAGGTGGATTTAGTCCGAGCATACCATCAAATCCCCGTGGAGCTGAGTGACCACTCCATTTGGCATGTTCGAATTCTTGCGCATGCCTTTTGGATTGCGGAACGCAGCCCAGACGTTTCAGCGTTTCATTGACAAAGTGTTGCATGGGTTGAATTTCGTATACGCCTACATCGACGATTTACTCATTGCCAGCCATAGCGACGAGGAGCACGAGTCGCATCTTTGGACGCTTTTCGAGCGACTTGATCAGTACGGTGTTGTGGTGAATCCCGCCAAGTGCGAATTTGGCGTGCCGTCACTACACTTCCTAGGCCACCAGATCGACCAGGACGGTATTCGGCCACTGGACACGAAGGTTGACGCGATCAAACGGTTCCCAGTCCCCAATTCAACCAAGAAATTGTACAAATTTCTTGGACTGGTCAACTTCTATCGCCGCTTCATACCCCACTGTGCTGCCTTGGCACGACCTCTGACCGACCTACTCGCTGGAAAACCCAAGAAGACAATCGAACTGACCCACACGGCAATCGATGCCTTCGAAGCAGTCAAGTTGGCTTTGATCAATGCAACTCGTTTGTCCCATCCTCGACCCGATGCTGAGTTAAGCTTGATGGTCGATGCCTCCGATTTCACCGTGGGGGAGTCCTGCAACAGCTGGAACATGGCATCTGGCGTCCCATTGCTTTCTTCTCGCGAAAGCTGCAACCTGCGGAGACCAAGTACAGCACGTTCGGCCGGGAGCTGATAGCGGCTTACCTTGCCATCCGCCACTTCCGCCATGTTGTCGAGGGTCGTGCATTCTCCATCTTAACAGATCATAAACCGCTGACACATGCACTCGCTGCAAGCTCGGATAGATACTCCCCCAGCGAGATCTGACAACTTGACTATGTGTCGCAGTACACAACTGACATCAGACATGTTCAGGGTAAACACAACGATGTCGCTGACGCGTTGTCATGCATTAGCCTGAACACATTCTCTGCCATGTCATCATCTCCCATCGATTTCCAGGTTATGGCCTAACATCAGCGCAATGATGAGGGCTTACTCCGTCACAAGCAGCAGTCGGTTCTTCAGCTACAGGACGTTCCGCTGGTTGCAAGCAAGGACACCCTAGCTTGTGACATGGCTTCCGGAACCCCTCGACCCTTCGTTCCCAAGGTGATGCGAAGAGCAGTGTTCGACTCCTTGCATTCCCAGTCGCATCCCGGAATTAGAGCCACTCTCAAGCTGGTCAGTGCACGCTTTATATGGCCCAACATGAACCATGATGTTCGTTCGTGGGCTAAAACCTGCATCCGTTGTCAGAAATCCAAGGTGCACAAGCATACCATCACACCACTAGGAACCTTCATCACCCCTGATGCCCGTTTCGACCACGTGCATATTGACATTGTCGGCCCACTTCCACCGTCCAACGGTCAGTCATACCTACTCACGTGCATTGACTGTTTCACAAGGTGGACGGAAACCATTCCGATCCCAGACATCACTGCCGAAACTGTCGCCAGAGCATTTGTGAGCGATTGGATAACAAAATATGGCACACCATCGACAATCACCACCGACCGCGGCCGACAATTCGAATCAGCCCTGTTCATCACCTTGACAACATTACTTGGCAGTCGACGCATCCGCACTACTTCGTACCATCCTATCGCAAACGGACTAGTGGAGCGCTTCCACAGACAGTTGAAAGCTTCACTCAAAGCACAGGATGAGCCCAACAGGTGGACGGAAACGCTCCCTCTTGTTCTGCTGGGCATACGAACAGTCGTCAAACGGGACATTGGGTGTTCGACAGCGGAACTCATCTTTGGAACTACATTGCGCCTCCCTGGACAGTTTGTCGCACCCGTCAATGATGCTGGGTTAGACCCAGGAGATTATTTTCATTGCCTCAAACGCGTCATGCGTCAGATAGCACCAGCACCTACACGACCGCACACTCGCACCACACAGCTTCACAAGGACTTGTTGTCTTGCACACACATTTTCGTCCGATGTGATCACGTGCGCAAACCACTCGAACCTCCGTACAAGGGCCCTTATCGTGTACTTGAGCGAGCAGATAAATACTATACACTGGACTTGAACGGCAAGAGCGACGCTGTGAGTTTGGATAGACTGAAAGTCGCATATCACCCGTTCTGTCTCGCGGTAGTCGAGGCAACATCGGCCAGCCGCCGTGCGGGAGAACAGTCCGACAGTGCAGGACACACGCATCGAAACAAGTTGGGGTGAGTGACACTTAAGTTAAACGATCGTGCATGCCCTAAAAAACCATTGCAAAAGAATGAGCAGCAATGAGTTGTAATTAAATGTATAATCATACAAGGATATAAATGGAAACATACCATGCACAAGCTGAAGACTTTGCCGATGTATTCATCTGGTGTGATGATCGTTCCAAGAACCAATGGTTCCATGTACTCTTCAACATGTTGTCTGTCTGGAAACTGCAACAAAATTGAAAGTTAAAAATCCCAAATGTTAATCGTTTAATTTCATAGGACACTCCATAGAAAGCTTACGTAGCTAGTTCACACCATACGTAATACAATTGTTAGGTTTATTCTGTGTACATTTGTTCTGTTACTGCTTACTACAGAATGAACAAGTGATCACACAGTGCATTTTACTATTCATACACTGAGGTGCCAAGTTCTAAATCCAACACAAAACTACAAACCAGGTGTTGCACTGCAGGAACTAAAGAATTCGAGTAGACCAGGGGCAGATTGCAATAACGTGGTCTTAGGGAGCGTCTCTTAGGGAGCGTCGGGAAAGTTTGCGGTCCCGTAAAACATTCCGTTGGAATGCCAGGCGTTCCAACGGAAACGTGCCATGTTCCCAATGCAACACGGGTGCGTTCCGCGCATTGAATGAGACGCACCGAGCTGCGGTCCAGCTAGAACGGGGAGGGAACACCGTGTTCCCGGCGGAACGCTGCACGGATGGGTATTTGCGGTCGGGTATACGTACGTACATCTTTGCGTAACTGCAGGACTTGGCGTCTGTGTTTATTCAAATGCTAGATTTTCTGACAAAGTGTGTATCGTCAATGGTAAGCTCCGCTTTTATCGTTTTCTTATTTTAGTTAGTAAAAGTATAAAATGGTACAGGTATTAAAAGTATTGTTCTTGCACCAGCATAATTTAACGTGAATACACAATCACCGCAGCGATTGCATGTGATGTGAGGTCGGGGCTACTGAAATTTCACCACAGAAACGACATTTACATCTGATTACCAAGATTCCATCAACGTTCACTCGTAACTTTTGTTGAACTATTTACCCAAACCTTCATAGGAATTTCACAATTACGTCCAAATATTACATATAAATCCTCAAAAACAAGAAAAATCTACCGTTCAGTGACGCACGGGTTGCCGGGGACCAGAGATCGGGACGCCATTTTTCCTGACGCAATATGGGCAAATATTCTAAACTGGGCCATCGTATGCATGATATGCTGGGAACGTTCCCCTGGAACACGCAATAGTACGCGTGTTCACGGCCGTTCAAGGTCGTTCCGCAAAGGGATTGTGCCGTTCCGATGGAACAGTCCCCTGTTCCCGATGGAACACCAGAACGTTCCAGTCCGGGAACGCACCGTTCCAATGAGAACATTCCGAGTGTTCCGACTTATGAGACGCTCCCTTAGTCAGCCAACTTAACTTGTCCAATTTTAGCGATAAGACACCCAACTTAGCCCAGTGCAGTAAGCCAGTCTTTACTGAGCTAGCTTAGAGTAATGATTCCACAAACAAACATTCCATTGTAAAGGGCTGCTGTGGCGATGCTCACTTAACTGCAATGCCAGAGAAACTGCACGATTCTTGTTTGTCTGGTTCAAATCACATGATATCAACTTTGTCAAATACAGTATTTGACAAAGTTTTTCTTGACATGCAATCCAGTATTCAACACTGGATTGCATGTCAGGAAAAATTGTAATTGCAGTGCAACTCAGTGTCATTATATTTCTCTTGACGATTCAGTCTATCCTGGAAAATCCTCAATCCAAGCAGTGCTCTTCTATTTCAATCATTAAATATTTTATGAACTGAAAAAAAATATTCTTGTAACAAATATTTCAACACACACAAAAAATCCCAATTATGCATTGACCATTTAACCACTTGACAACGGGATTATTTTTGGCCTAAATACACCATTTTTGGAAAAGGCAAAATACATCGGCCAAACTTTAAAATCAAGTCAAACACCACAAATGTTGACTCTCGAGAGTCATTTGTACAATATTTGTAGGATACTTCTCACAGTAACTTCATATTTTGAAACACTCCAAGGCCCCCTGCATGGAGCGATATTGGCTACGATGGCCAAGTTCAAGCTCAAAACCAATTGGAACCACGGACATGTATACACGTCCACTGCCGGAGACTCGGGGAAAGCTAAATGATTTAGCCCGTCACCCGCCCCTGCAAATAAACATTGCCAGATCGTGTTTACACATTTTCTGGCATTAACTGGTTAAGCCAGCCCAAGCGCAGGCTAAGTATTTTAACACCTTGACCATGTCATTGCCATGGTCAAACTTTAACAATGGACAGTCACAGCTTTCAGACTGTCTAATACGCACAGACAGCTTTAGGATCATTCATTGGAATCCACCCCAGGTCAATAAAACTTTTTTTTCAATCTTGCAATCCAGAGTCTGCCAAACAATTTAGTATAATATGACTCAGGTTGACTCAAAACAATTTTGGGTTCAGACAGTGTCATGGCCTAGCGGTTAAGAACACCGGACTCATGTTCTGGTGTTTCAGGGGCAACAGTGACGTGGGTTCGAGCCCCGGCGCAGACACTTGTGCCCTTAAGCAAGGCACTTAACCATTATTGATCCGTCCTTCGGATGGGACGTCAAGCCGGAGGTCCCGTGTGTTGTATAATGTCTAATGCACGTTAAAGAACCCAGTACACTTATCGCTAAGAGAAGGGGTTCGCCACAGTGTTTCTGGCAGTGCGATTATCTTCAGCCATGAAGTCTGCACTTGTAAGGAAGGAAGGAAGGAAGGAAGGCAAACTTTACATGTTTGTGACAATTTGTCAATATTGAGTCTTGAGTTATTCCAAACGACTGCAACAGTTTCTCTTTTGACATAGTTGCTCCTAACAGTTTCAAACATCTACATTTTATGTATTTCAATTCTTCAAAATAAATTTGGTTTCGCATGACTCTGGAACACCATTCTGAAATCAGTGAAAGACAAATTGCATAAAAGCAGTATCTCCACAAAGGTATCGTCCACATAGCGGTACCATCGGTTTGCAAGGTACATACGAGTGATGGGTTGTATATCGTAATCTCCTCATTGTCTCCATACTGCTGTCTGTTAGCCTTTGTGTCCTTCATTTTAGCCTTGTACGGCACGCTGGGGACGGTGACGATGACGTTGGCGTTGAACTCTTGCTCCAGTCTCTGATTGAAGACATCCATGTGCAGGAGACCTAGAAAGCCCAGACGCCAACCTTGGCCCAGGGCTGGGCTGCAAGAGAAACATGAAGCAACATACAGTTATGCGTAGCTCAAGTGGAGGAAACACTAAGCCAAGTTCGCGCAAGGACTATTGTTGACCAATGGTTAACCATAGTTTGACTAACGCTTGCCTGAACTCTGTCTAGTCAACGGTGATTGACTACGCTAGTCGACTATTTGGAACCAGCCTACTGGGGCTGGTTGCATCGCTGGTAACCAATAGCCGCGCGCATTCATAACGCTAGCAGAGAGCCAGGATCCAGAAGTTTTGCGATGACATTTTGACCAGCGTTTGACTAGAGACATTCGCACGTTGCTATCAGTGCGCAGGCGTAAGGTACGTCACAAATCAACCCCTAGTCGACTAATGGTCCTTGCCCGAACTTGGCCCTAGCAACAAAAGATGAATCAATGTATGTGCTCCGTGCACAAGTACCCCTTTAATGGCTACAAATGGAGAGTTGGGGGAGACCACTGGGAGAGACTGTTGAACACATTGCTGATAGCGCCTGACACTCATGTGGATATGCTACAGGTTTGTGAACATTAAAGCCAGCCTCAGGTCGACCTTGCGACAACACAGATCAGTCGACGACTGACTTTTCAGGATTAAGCTGTGCCTGAGCTACGACCGTCGGGAACATTTCAGGCCAAGTTCGGGCAAGGACCATTAGTCGACTAGTGGTTGATTTCTGACGTACCTTATGCCTGCGCACTAATAGCAACGTGCGAACGTCTCTAGTCAAACGCTGGTCAAAATGTCATCGCGAAACTTCTGGATCCTGGCTCTCTGCTAGCGTTATGAATGCGCGCGGCTATTGGTTACCAGTGAAGCAACCAACCCCAGTAGGCTGGTTCCAAATAGTCGACTAGCGTTGTCAACCACCGTTGACTAGACAGAGTTCGGGCAAACGTTAGTTAACCATTGGTCAACTATAGTCCTTGCGCGAACTTGGCCTCAGTTGCCAATTTTGTGAGACCTGAGTGTAACTGGGACAATATTAAGAGGATCGGAATTAGTCGGCGCTAAAAAAAAGTCGGCGCTCAACAGTCGCAAGAGTAGAAAAATTTCAACTTCCACGACGACGTTGCGATGGTGTGCACATCAAGACATCCTTTTTCAATTGTGTAGCCAATCAGCACACTACACACTGGTTGCGTTACGAGCAACATCACGCAGTACGCACCACGTGCGCGTCAATCACCACATAAGGAGATTGTTTACTGCTACTCGCGAGAGGATATTCCATACCATAGCTAGAGGGGTGTTTAAAAAAAGCAATGAAGTAAAACTGTTCAACAAAATCGTTGGAAATGTATAATTTTTGACTTGTGTCGACGTTTTGACTCAAAAAGTATTCGTGAATGGGAATACAAGTACATTTAAGACCGTATCAGGAGAATGCGCCCTGATAATGACTCGAGCCGAACAGGCCAAGCACATAATTATTCCCTTGTTGTCAAAGAAGCCACATGACTGTCTATGCTGTGGAATCGTTGTGGATTGTCGCGTCTTGGGTGACATGAGCATGGTTGAGAATATTTTGCGTGGGGATGCCGCTTGTTTCAAGAGAATAACACAATTTCTCAGTTTTGTGACCTGAGTATTACTTTTCTGCTTGATGCCGATGGTTCCGTCGTGACGCAAGCAAATCGCAGTTCGACCTGAGGCCGGCTTAAGAATAAAATGAATACTTCACGCCGTAAGCACGCGAATCAGTGCACACGCCACATGTCCTCCCCAATGCAACTCTTATCAGTGGTGACAAAGTGCCATACACTGTTCAAACACAGTCCAAAGCGAACACAAGTTTTTTTTTACATAAAAAACCTTCCAAGGCAAAATTCACTACAGTTTGAAATTTGCTTTGTGAAGACTTGCCATGCTGTCACAATTTTTAAAAATATGTTTGCTTTCACATCGAGTTTCAACTAGCGGTAAAGCCCAGTTCATACTCGGCGCGAATGCGAATGCGAAGCGAATTTGCCGTTATGAAACATTCGTTGCGAAATTTGCCCAAGTTGAAATATGTTCAACTTTTACGAATTCGCAGCGCGAATACTTGTCACGACGTCACAAGTTCGAGTTCGCTTTCGCGCAGAGTATGAACCGGGCTAAACACAGTGGAATTTGGTAATATTGACAGCAGACAACTGTAAAATTAGCAGGGCCTGACACTTTGATCCCAAGAGAATCTTTTCCCAATGCAAATTTGATCGATTTTCCTGGGATACAAATATCTGGCCCTCCAAACTTGAAGTCCTTTTCAATCATCAATGAAAAACCTGACATATCAATCAACTGGAAATTATTATACAAATATAACATGGTTTGAGGGTCACGGACAGTCGATATTCGCTCCCCGAGGTATTGGAAGTTGACAAACTAGTATCCCGAGGCGAAGCCGAGGGAACTAGTTTGTCAACTTCCAATACCGAGTGGAGCTAATATATCGACTGTCCACCCAAAATAAACCATGTTATATTTGTTTTACTATACCTCATACATATTCAGTTGCCGATTTTTTTTAATATATAATTATGCACCTAAAACAAAATTTTCGGAGAAACTTGTACAGCTCACTAAAAGAATATTGTTGCTCAACTTCAATAGTTCGGTTCGTTTGCAATACAGTAACTACAGTTGTAAATACAGTTGTTTGTGTACAACTTTCTTTTGTACAGAAGGCATCTTTATTGTCCATAAATTTTCTCCAGTCCGGCAATTATATAATTTACACGAACCGTGCAGCCAAGCATCTCTCTTGGGCGATGTTCGCGCGTGCGTACTACACCCGTGCGACAGTTCCTCGATTGCTTTGTAAGGCGCATGCGTAGTAGACTGTCTAGCCCGTGCGACAGTCTACTACGCATGCGTATTTAGCCTGCATGTGAATCCTCGCGCGCGCGTTTGGTAAACAGCAAGAATAACATCTGGCACGTGATGGTGAATTGACCAGTGAGAGTTCGGCTCTCGATCATGAATATGTATGAGGCATAGTAACATCTCATATCATCTCCGTATCTGTATACGTACCTGCTATCACGGCTCAATGTCACGCTACTGTCATTCAGTGTCAGTCTCTCTATAGCTGACCTTAGGCCCAGATACTCTGATTGGTCAATTGGGTACAGACCGGCAAACACCTGCAATGCAGCAAACGATAATACATGCTACAGTTACTGATGAGAATGCTCACAGTCTACATGTAATGCCTTCATTCATGACAAACTCAACATTTCTTGAACATTTTACAAACAAATTGGTCTGTAGGGAAATTTCAAAATATAATTCATATGTTGTTTTTGTTAACAAAAAAAAAAGTTTAGTCCAGAACGTTCAGTCTTAGGCTTATATCCACAGTAAGTCTATTCAGCATTAAGTCATTCTGGTGTCAGGTCATGGTTTTTCAATCAACAGTTTGGTCTGGGGACAATTACACAGAGCTGCAACACAAAACTTTGATAGAGAAAAAAAAATACTTTGTTTAGGACAACACGTTACCTGCCAAAATGCCATACGATTTGCAATTACTTTTACTGGTACTGATGAGAAACTGCGGAAGGCAATTGAAGCCATATTGGGAAGACTGTGTCGGTGTTCTATAAAGGACAACTTGCTATCTTGTGTTTCACATGTCTTGGTTCACTTTTTATAAAGTTTGTAAAAAAAAAACATCGAAAATCATAGCAGAAAACTTGTTCTTGTTTAGAACATCGTAATACATGTATGTGCGCAAAAAGTGCGATGAATCTTAAAGGTATAGTCCATCATTTGTTATTTGTGCATTTTATTCGTTTGAAGCAACAAAAGTATTAAACATCTAAAGAAGGGTGCTGAACAACTAACCTGATGAAGTTTCAGCTCAGCTTCAGCTGTATATTTTGAGATAAACAGCATTCTAGGATCTCGATTTCAAATCAAAAGTTGCTGAATCATGTTTTGAATTGGGTCTGAATTCAGCGTCCGAGACAAGTTCTCACTGAGCCGATTGTAGCTATGCGATGTCGCGCACCGATCCGACGAATTGTAGCAGCCACACGTGTGTGTGCGTCGTGCCAACGCCCTCGCGCGCTTTGCCGAATAAAAAAACGAACTACTTACGGAAATTTCCAACGGTGCGCCTTAAGACGCACCGTTGGAAAGGCCTTCTTTCGTTGATTTCTTCAAAATGACAGCTTGCCAGAGAGAATAATTTCACAGGGAGTTTAGTTCCCCTACTATCTTTCAACCAAGTATGTTTGTCAACAATAATTACGTCAGTTACTTTTTGGATAGTTGCAAATGATGGACTATAGCTTTAATACAGAGTGTACTGTAAAACATACATACACGTAAAACATCGGTATATCAGTGGCCATATTAATTTTGAGGACCAGGGCGAACTGGTCAAAAAGCGACAAACATCAGGCATGCAACTTGGAAGAAACAAAACACCAGGAAACTCCAATCTTTACAAGACTTTGTACAGTGTGTTAAAATTTTTAATGACAAACGTGTGAATTGAAAAACGAGGAAATCAGCTGATCCAAGGAAAAGTTGAATGCCTGTAATGTACGGCATAATGGGCATATGCTTTCCAATCAGTATGTAGAGATCAGTGCTCTGTGCTCAATTTTTGTTTTATTCAGTCCCCATTACGATCAAATATATTACCATGGGCCTAGCAGCCTTGAAGCCTGGTAGGGGCTCCACTGCGTTGTTCTGGTGATAGATGGTGTCACCAATCCTGGCCTCATGGAGGTTGTGCATGCCTGCGATCATGTAGCCAACCTGTCCGGCAAACCTACAAGCAGATAAAGACAATGTAGATAAAGATTATGCATTACATGATTCCACGCAGTTGGCAAGATGGCAAGACATTCACTGATGCGGTGCAAGCATCAATCAATTCAGTGGTTGCGTCACATGATTTTCCATCAAATAATTTGATGCAGACTTCATAGGATTCAAAGCCGACATCATTTGATTTGATGCAGACACATTTCATACCATGCTTGGTCATCTATGGCTATGTCAAACAATGCAACAATTCAGTGCTTGATTGATTGGTATTGGACTTGATACCTCCGTCCTTTATGGTGGTGCCCCTATTTGAGTCTGAGACTCATTGATTTGAGTGTCTGTCCAACTGCTTGAGTAAGAACTTGACAGCATTTCCTTAACCCTTTATGTAAGTGCAACTTACGGATAATTGGGGTAAAACCATAGAGCTATATTAAATTACTAGAGCGCTAACTCGATGTACAAAATAATGCCTGATGGGTGCATCCATGTTTGTGCACAAACCTATGGAAAACTCGAAATTTTGTACGGCTTTTGTACAGCTATTTGCATATCTGCGTTTGTATTCCATACCGATGTGTCATCGAAGCCGATAAGCCCAAAACCGAAAACGCACGATCAGCAAATGAGCGTGTTATTTTGCTCTATGCAAACAGCGCAACGTGTGCGCGTCCCTCCGCTGCAGATTCTTTACGCCGTGACATTTTTTGAACTGTCATGACGAGCTTAAGTTGTTTGCGTATCTTCTTCTTGCGCGTTGCATTTAGAGTACACTTTTAAAATTCAATCCATCTATTTTGATTGTGTTCTACAAACACGCACATAAATTCAAAATGTCTGCGCCCAGAGCGGCTTCAAAGCGTCTCCGCGCGCAGAATGAGGAGTTAGCACTCTAGTAATTTAATATAGCTCTATGGGTAAAACAAGTCCCAATTGGGATCTAACATGGAGCACGAGGCTTTCTTCTCCTTTACAAGTTGGGGAATGAAACGTGCCCAAGAAATTACCATGCACAGATTATGAACAAATTTCCTTTACAAAATTATGCAAAGTAATGGAGTTTTTCTAAAATGTGAAAAAGCTGGAATTCTGGCCATTGCAGGAAAACCGGCATCCCTGACTTGGGCATTGCATTTTGCTCCAATATAATAATAAATAATAATAATTGTGCTTATATAGCACTTTCCATCGTATCAACAATCTCAAAGCGCTTTACAATTATTACCCTGTTCATCAGGCCATGAGACCATGCGGCAGCCAATATCAGCGCTCAATCGGTCCTCGACCCTCACAGGTACCCATTAATACTCCTGGGTGGAGAGAGGCAATTGTAGCTAAGTGTCTTGCCCAAGGGCACAAACACCATGTTCCTGGCAGGGTTCGAACCCAGCACCTTCGTACATGAGTCAAACACCATAAACCACTGGACCATGGCATTCTACGACCATTGACCTGTGTCCCCTAAACACAAATCATTTTGATATTTAAGCGTTTCCACTCACAATTCTCTGCAGGCCACTTGCTCTGGATGCATAATCCCTATCTCCTGCACCTCATACGTCTTGCCTGAGTGGGCCGCAGTGATCTTGTCTCCTTTCCTCAGTTTGCCGTCAATGAGGGCGATGTTGGTGATGGCTCCACGGTACTGGTCATACCAGGAGTCAAAGATGAGGGCCTTGAGGGGTAATTCAAGGTCACTCTGTGGTCTGGAGGGAAACAAAATTGGGCATAATTTTAACATGTGTGAAGGAAGAACAGATTGTGCTGACTAACTACCAGAATTGTAATGACTCGAGTCAATGACTCGACTCGAGTCCGACTCGAGTCATATTTTTTGGTGACTCTATTCGACTCGAGTCCCGATGGGTAAATGACTCGACTCGACTCGAGTCACTGCGAGCAAATGACTCGACTCGACTTGAGTCCCTCATCAGAATGACTCGACTCGACTCGAGGAAGGCTAATAAGACTCAAGTCCCAAATATAAAAGTAAAACTTACTTGCGAAAAATATTTGCAATGACTTACGCCGCGCCGTTCGCGTTGACAGTTTTTGTTCACGTCACGTTATGTTCGCGAATAATGTACGTTCATATAAAGCGGCCATCTGTTTTCCTTCCTCCATAATGATATAACAAACATACACCGTGTCGCGGAGTCCCACCTTGTGGTTCTATAGCATTTAATGCTAAACCCGGAACCAGACTTAAAACGCATTTCTCAATCCGTGGTTTCATCATTGGTTTCAGGCGATTTCTTATAAAGCTCTTGGTGGAACGCTGGCTAAATTTATGTCCCGATTTCACCCAAAAAAATGGATACGGACGGGACCACCTTTAAATAATCAAAAACAGTTTTGTATAATGTAATTAGGTTTTGACGTTGTCAGCGATCAGCGAACAACAAAATCTAGACCCGAAGCCAAACCAGTTATAAGACCGAAGTTTCACATCTTCTTATCTGTGACGTGAGCTAGCAATGGAAACTGTTGGTCGGGTACCATACAGCATACTTTAAGTCTAATTTGGATTTTTGGTAATAGACTGGTGCCTTGTATTCTTTCTCTCTTGTGTTTGTTGCTTTTTATTGTAATTTATTATATGGTGTTCAAATATTTTGACTCGAGCTAAATACTCGACTCGACTCGACCACACACTGTGACTCGACTCGACTCGACTCGACCTTGTTGACCTAATGACTCGACTCGACTTGAGTCACTTCTTTAAAATGACTCGACTCGACTCGAGTCACAAAAATCAGTGACTCGTTACAACTCTGCTAACTACACAGGATAACTCCAGGGCATGATACACACTACATTCGTATACACTACATCCATACACTGGTTCCCACTTTTATAGTGTGAATACACAACCATTCAGGTTTTATCTAAAAACAACACAGACTCTAGCATCTTTGTGAAGGGATTAAGTGCATAGAGGCATTACATGTCGCATCTCTCTCTTTTTCCCAATTGAAGGGATGCTTGGTGAAAAGCCGCACAACGTTTTTCTATTGTCATCATCAACTCATTAATACTGCAAGGACTTTGGCTACATGCATGGCACGCAAGGCAATTCACTGGTAAGCCGTTTTGAGCAATCTCCAAGAAGAAAATGTCGGGCAATTTTAATTCATTGTTGTAATATTGTAATTGAGGGATTCTCAAATATTGTTGGAAATATACTTTGTTCTTCCCCGAGTTCCTTTAACTCGCAATGCATTTCGTTCACTCTGTGAACATTGCTCGACCCTGATAGTTGTTGATATCAACTTACGGTGGTATTCTGTCGATGACTGCAGGTAACACTTCATCCACTCCTGTCCCAAGTTTGGCAGATATGGACAAGACGTCCTCTCTCTCAATGTCAAACAGCGTCTTGATCTGATTGGCTACTGCCTCAGGGTCAGCAAACTTCAAATCAATCTGAAAGGTAATTGAATAATGCTGATTACACCTTCAATCATAGAAATTGCCATAGAAATTATGTTTGTGAAACATTATAAAGAAATTCTGGTAGGGTTCTACCTTCCTGAACCCTGTTCATTCCTCAAAGCCTCCTGAGTAAATCAAAGATCTAGCAGGAGTCACACAGGGTTAATCAAAATTGAATTGGTACATACTCTCATTTTTTTCTTCTCCCCATGAATCAACTGGTGGGGGGAACTTACTTTATTCAAGACAGGAATGATGCACAGATCTGACTCAAATGCCAGGTAGAAGTTGGCCACTGTCTGAGCTTGGACTCCTTGGTTTGCGTCCACTAGGAGTAGCACCCCCTCGCAGGCTTTGAGAGAGCGAGACACCTCATAGTTGAAATCAACATGGCCCTGGATAAAAAGAAGACCAGACAACAACAGAAGCTCAGAAGCTTAAGCTCAAAAGTTATGAACAAGGAGGTCGGTTCATACTCAGCACAAATGCAAATTGTGATGTCATGGCAAGTATTTGTGCTTCAAGTCTGCAAAACTTGAACACATTTCAACTCTGGCAAAATGTGCTGCAATAGGCCTGAGACGTAAGGACGTCACGCTTTGTGTATTAGACTGTCCCCACTTTATCTGGTGTCCCGACTTCGCTCCCATAGGAAAGCGCATATGTAAACAAAGCCATTATGTCATTACGTCTCAGGTCTATTGTTTTGTGACAATTTGCAGTTGTGTGAAGTATGAATCTATCAGTCCATAGGGAGCATCTTACCTGGGTCCTACTAAAGCGCGTCAACAAGCGTCAACAAGCCTCAACAAGCCTCAACGGTCGTCAACGAGCGTCAACAAATTTTGTATCATAGGCTTTTGAACATTAAAAATAGCTTTATATGGTAGAAAAAGCAATAACGAACATATTCTGCATATCAATTAAAGTTAAAATTATTTTAAACCTGTTTTTTTGAACGCGAAATGTACGACGAATTTGTCGATAAATGTTGGCCGCCATCTTGTTTATGTGTAGCTTGCCGTACTACGCATGCGTGAAGTGTACAGAGCCATACTACGCATGCGCAAAGTCTACAGCGCCATCCAAACAAGATGGCGGCCAACTTTATCGACAAATTCGGCGTACATTTTGCGTTCAAAAAACCAAGTTTTAAAATAATTTTTACTTTAATTGATATGCAGAAGATGTTCTTTATTGCTTTTTCTACCATATAAAGCTGTTTTTAATGTTCAAAAGCCTATACAAAATTTGTTGACGCTCGTTGACGACCATTGAGGCTTGTTGACGCTTGTTGACGCTTGTTGACGCTTGTTGACGTGCTTTAGTAGGACCGTCTTACCTTAATGCCTCAAGGTTTCCACAACAAATACTGGGTTTTTTTCAAATCTGGCGTACATGCTGTTCTGTAATGCTGGGTGTATGTGAAAAAAATTGAGATCTCTTTCAATGCTGAGAACTTGTCTAGAACATAATATGTTAGCATTGGAAAAGGCTGGGCTCTTGAAAAAAAAAAGAGTTATCCAAATTGAATATCTTCAGATACTCTCTTATGATAAGTGCTTAAGAGAAGACGACACGCAGTATATGATGATGTATTGCCATTTGAGTAAATGTAACCAACATTGGCAAAAGTGTGCATTTTTGCATGAGTGGAACGCGCCCCTGTTCAACACCCACAACCAAACCCCTGACTGTGCGTGTCAAAGAAATTCGCATCCACATGAAGTACAATTCTCAAACCTACGGGTGTGTCGATGAGATTCAGTAGGTATTTCTTTCCCTTGTGTGAGTAGAACATTGACGCTGTGACAGCCTTGACAGTGATGCCACGTTCCCTCTCCACCTGTAACTTGTCCAAAACCTGCTTGTTGTCAGATGTCTTAGAGATTGTACCTGAACAAAAAAATTATCCCAACGTTATTTTGTTAATTATGCTTGAAGTTTTTTTCCCAGGGAAAATTTAGTGTTATTTTAATAGTACACTCAGTGTTTAAGGCACTGCAGCTTTAACAGCTACAAAGTTCAAGAATAGTGGTCAAAGATCAAGAATATCCATTTCCCGCGGTTCGAAGTATAGCGGGAAATAATTGTCTTTGGAATTCAGGCAACGCATGTAATGCGTACCAGGTGATTAGTAGAAAAGGAGTTACGTAATGAGATCAGTGAGTAGTATAAATAAGGAGGAGGGATAAAAGAAAGCCAGTTCTAGCAAAGCACTTCACAAGATCCACCTCGTTAGTTTCTTTTTCCGCCATGGATGCACAAGCGCAAGCAGCCTTTATCGATTGTAACCGTGTTAAACACGCAGTTGCAGGATCGCAGGCAGCCCTATTATTAGACAAGATGGATGGCTTGATATCTACCAAATTTGCAAGCTTTGTGAGCAAAGTAAGCGACACGCAGAGACAGATCTCGGACACTCCGTTGTCAAAAATCGAACACAACATTCTAAGTAATGATAGTTACAGATTTAAACGCAAAAGCTGCGAAGATCAATAAGGGAATAAATGTGTGCTCCGGAGGTTTTTATCACTCGTTTAATACCGCTTAGAGTCTGGGTGCTGATAATTACCCGAGCCGGAGGCGAGGGTAATTATCAGCACCCAGACTTTAAGCGGTATTAAACAGAGTGATAAATACCGACAGAGCACATATTTATTCCCATTCATAAATACCTTATCCGTAAAAAAATATCAAATAATCCGTTCAAAAAATCCCGATTTTGTTCAACAAGTTCACTTCATGCTTTTTGAAACATCCCTCTAGCAAAATAATGGAGTGTTCAGCTGGCGAGTAAGATGTAAACAACCCTTTTATGGAGATTGACGCGCACGTAACATGTTCTGCGCGATGTCACGCAGAACGCACCTGGAGCGTTGCGTTTTGAATTTAGAACTATAAAATTCTGACTCGCTTGTAGTGTTGCGCATGCCTACGTGAGGATTGTGAACGTTCAACCAATGAAACGGTAAGAGGCACTGGATTTTTAGGAGTCCACATTTTATTGTGACACTGGAAAAGTGTTTAAGACCAGCTAGCCATGTCTTTATCATCCGTTTAAGACCGGCCACGTGACGGGCTCTCGACCAATAGGAATAGCTAAACTGTCTGAGGTATTTATAAATACAAGTTTAACGCAAAGGTTGCCACCAAGCTGAAAGATGCCAAGTCTAACCTGGACAGCATGAGGGATTTACCTCAAGCATCCAAGGATGTCACTGAAGGTATTGAACTTTTAAGTCGCCGTCAAAAATTGATTAAGATGGCGGATGCTTCCGAATCCGGGTGGCGAGTTGTCACCGAATACGAAACCAATCCGCTTGCATCAGATTCGGATGACGAAAAGCGTATAAATCGTGCCGAATCCAGAGCATCCATTTGAGAGTATATATGAAGCTTGAACAAGCCAAAAGAGTCAAGAAAACAAGCCGATTCTCATCATGGCCTAACTCGGCACGTGCTGATCCAGTCCTCCCACCTGCTCATCGTACCAGCAGCACGGCATCGTACAGCAAGCCAGGAGTGTGCTTCAGCTGCGGACAGCCAGGCCACTGGAGACATGAGTGCCTCAAGACGAGACAGCCGGCAAAGGCCGCTAATAAGATAAGTGATCGTTTGGTTTTCTCTGAATGTAAAACCTCTGGTGATCATAAGGTTTTCAGGCAAGACTTAGCCGATGATAAAAGTGGTGAGCATCATGGACAAGGATCAACGATTGGTCGATTAAAATTCACTGAATCATTGGGAAAAAGCCAGTGTTAATGCTCACATCAGATCAGTTATAAAGAATGGGTCTATTATTCCTTTCAAAACGCTTCCAGATGCATTTCATTTGAAAAACAACCGGTCAGCATTGGATAACAGTTCGTTTGTTGCAGACGAAATCAAAAAGCTCAAGGACAAAGGTTGTATTTCGGAGCTTGGTCAAACACCAACTTGTGTGAATCCTTTGACGGTTGCCTTTGGAAAAAACAATAAGGCGAGATTAGATTTGGATTGCAGGGATTTGAATCCTCATCTTGCACAGTTCAAGTTTAAATATGAAGACATTTCAGTAGCTAAACAGATGTTTCAACAAGGAGATTTTCTATTCACATTTGACCTCAAATCCGCCTACTACCATATTGAAATATTTCCTAGTCACAAAACATATATCTGGGTTTTTCTTGGACCAACGCTGACAAAACGTGTTTTTACCAATTCAATGTTTTGCCCTTTGGATTAGCCATCGCACCATTCATTTTCACCAAGATGATGAAAGTAGTCATTTCCTGGTGGAGGTCAAAAGGTCACAAAGTCGTCATGTTTTTAGACGACGGCCTTTGCGGTTGCAACTTTAAAGATGCAGCAAATTCAAGCAAAGAAATTCAAACTTAATTGCAAGATTAAAGACCAGAGCTTTATATCGATGCATAGATACCAGAGCCAGTTGGAATGCACCTGTTCTGATAGATGATGAGGCATACAAAGAAATCAAATTTTGGAATAATGAAGTCAAGAACCTGAATGATGAAGGGTTTAATATAGAGTACAAAGATGAGTAGGAAATTGAAGCATTTAGTGACGCATCCGGAGACGGATACGGCGGGTATGTTTCCCTGTGTGCGGGAGCCTTAGCTGAAGGAACGGAAGTGATTGGTTCATGGAACCATGATGAGGCTCAGCAAAGCTCCAGTTGGAGAGAGGCTGAAGCAGTACATAGAGTTCTTAAGAGCAATGTTCAAATTTTGCAAAATAAGAAGGTTAGATGGTTCACTGACAATAAAAATGTGAAGATAATCGTCAAGTCTGGCAGCAAGAAACCGGACTTGCAACATATTGCTTTGAGCATCCATGATACATGTAAAAAGGAAGGGATTAATATTCAGCCTGAGTGGATTAAAAGAACGGATAATGTGAAAGCTGATACACTTAGCCGAATTAAGGATAGTGATGATTGGCAAATCGATGTAAAGATTTTCAACCATTTGGACACAGTATGGGGCCCCCATACAATAGACAGATTTGCAACGAATTTAACCACGCATTGTAAACTATTTGACTCCAGGTTTTGGTGCCCTGGAACAGAAGGAGTTGATGCATTTAGCCAGAATTGGTCAGATGACTGTAGCTGGATTGTTCCCCCACCTAGGCTTATTCTTAGAGCTTTGAAAAAGATGCAAAAAGAAAAAGCTAGTGGTACCATGATTGTTCCACAGTGGAGATCAGCTCCATTCTGGTCGGAATTAGTTTCCGGGAATGGAATGTTCAAGGATTTTGTCAAAGAAAGCAAAATATTGCCACAGCAGAATGTTATTACTCAAAGTTGCAGCAAGTTTGGGATTTTCTCAGAGAACCCATTGCAGTTCACTTTGATAGGTTTTGCACATTTTGTTTTGAACGTAATCTGACAGATAGGAGAGTATTTCACTAAAGAACAGAAGTAATCCATGAGGGAAGTAGAATATATTGGTGATGACTACCGGTATTCATTTTTATTCAGGTATCCAACTGAAAAGCAGCGTTGGAGATGCTTTGAGAAAAGCAGGGGTTACTGATGAGAGTATAGGAGAGAGGATGTGTGTTCATCTACTAGCAGCCAGGAGCGACAATACTGTCGCCAAGTACTACGGAGCCTTTCAAACGACGGACAAGCTTTTGTCACCAGAACAGCTTCCAAGAGATCCCAGCAGAGCCTATTCATGTAGCAGTTTACTTGACAAAACTTCTAGAAGGAGGCTCGTCTCATAACGTCATCTCATCTGCAGTTTACGCAATCAAATGGGTACACGACATGAATGGCTTACCGGATCCTACGGACAACGCCTTCGTCCGGAATCTGCACGAGTCAGCGAAACGGACCACTGGCCACAAAGTCATCAAAAAGGATGCAGTTACAGCTGATATAATCATTGAACTATGCAACAAATATGTAGATAGTAATGATCCAATTGAAATCAGAACATTGTGTTTGATTACACAATAGTCATTTCCTGGTGGAGGTCAAAAGGTCACAAAGTCGTCATGTTTTTAGACGACGGCCTTTGCGGTTGCAGTCACTTTAAAGATGCAGCCAATTCAAGCAAAGAAATTCAAACATCACTCCAAAACCTAAGGTTTTTGATAGCTCATGACAAGTGTGTTTGGGAACCTTTGCAGGTTGCACAGTGGTTGGGGTTCAAGTGGTCTATGTCCACAGGCATGTTGCATGCAACGGATACACGAATAGAAAGAGTGGAAACTGCTCTGGTTTCCCTGATTGAACAAATAGATATGAGTAAGAGTAGTCTGGTCGCAGCCAGATTTTTGGCCTCTGTTGTTGGCCAGATAATATCTTTGATACATGCAGTTGGTAAAATTGCAAGATTAAAGACCAGAGCTTTATATCGATGCATAGATACTAGAGCCAGTTGGAATGCACCTGTTCTGATAGATGATGAGGCATACAAAGAAATCAAATTTTAGGATAATGAAGTCAAGAACCTGAATGATGAAGGGTTTAATATAGAGTACAAAGATGAGTATGAAATTGAAGCATTTAGTGATGCATCCGGAGACGGATACGGCGGGTATGTTTCCCTGTGTGCGGGAGCCTTAGCTGAAGGAACGGAAGTGATTGGTTCATGGAACCATGATGAGGCTCAGCAAAGCTCCAGTTGGAGAGAGGCTGAAGCAGTACATAGAGTTCTTAAGAGCAATGTTCAAATTTTGCAAAATAAGAAGGTTAGATGGTTCACTGACAATAAAAATGTGAAGATAATCGTAAAGTCTGGCAGCAAGAAACCGGACCTGCAACATATTGCTTTGAGCATCCATGATACATGTAACAAAGGAAGGGATTAATATTCAGCCTGAGTGGATTAAAAGAACGGATAATGTGAAAGCTGATACACTTAGCTTAATTAAGGATAGTG